AGCTCTCTCAAAAGAGAATTAGAATATGTTATTTCTCATGTATTACCCATAGTTACTGGGTATTAACAGCTGTGATAACAGACACCTACCCAATAAGAATTTTTAAATGGAACAGAAAGAAAAAACTATTTGGTAGATAAGGAGGTTGGGAGGGCTGATGCCAAAGACTTAGATTTAATGCTTTAGGAAACATTTATCGGGGCCAGCAGATGGCAAGGTGGTTAACGTGCTGGAGTGCCAAATGGCTGACCGTGGTTTAAGTCCCAGACCTGGCGGCTTGCTTTCTCACTTTCCATCTATCTCTTTCTCTCTCTTTCTTTCTCTCTCAGGTGAGCACACATGCCCTACGGTGAATTAAAAAATAACAATAATGATAAGTTAAATTAAATAATTATTTTTAAAAAGAAAATTTTGTCTCTGAACTTCTAGTTCTAGGCCAATAATACTTAAAGGAAACAAGATGATTTACAGGCTCATCATTATCTGAATAAAGGGAAGATCCATCCGTTTTATAAAACATGCTTAGCAGCCATAGCCAATGTCTAGGACAGCTCACAAAGGTGCGCTTTGGGAATGGGATGAGTTCAGTTCTCTGTTCGGGTCCCCAGGCAAGATCAAAAGAAGGCAACTCAAAGAGCTCAAAATCTGTCTTCTTATCCTCAGGCACCCCTTTCAAAAGAGATGTCTTTTCATTAAATTCATATAAAAATCAAGCCTGCTACAGATGAAATATACCCTCAATGCAAAAGAAGCATTAATTGGTTAAGTTTCAGTTAAAACATTAATAAAGTCTAAGTAAACTATAAAGAAAATCCAGTTGAGTTTTAAAGATTCCCTCCTAAAATAAGATTTTCTAACAAAACAAACCACATGAAACATGTAACAAAGAGCTTTTTTGATTAAGAAAAGGATGAAAATTAAAATAAAGACAAAAATCCTGAGTTAAGTAAAAATTGTAGTTCAGGAGCATCACTACTGGACTAAATAGCAATCATCTATTTTTAATCCCTGTAATCATCTAAAAACTAAGAATAGCTCAGAAAACTATGTATCCTCCCTATAGACAGAGACATGTGGCTTTAAGAAACTCAAGCACACCCAATCCCTACCTTACTAAACAGATCAATTGGAAAGGGACCTGAGATTTTTAAAAGATTAATGACTGTATTCTTCTGAATTGGAGCTCACTTTGTAGATCATTTGGCACATGATACAAGTTTTTGCAAATCATAATTCTAAACTATGTTTTAAACCATTAAATAAAGCCAAGCGCATCTACTCAAGGCACTCCCAAAATTTCATTTATTTCAGAGTCCCCAAATAAAATCTCTGTTAGAGACTGGGGCACAGAGAAGCCTACAGATAGATGGCAGACTTCAAGACACAAAAGATACACAAAAAAATGCTCCTGAGAAAAACATTTGCACCCAAAGTCTTTATTAATGAAAAAAATAATTTGACATAGTAGATATCGCAAGTAAAACATACTTATGAATAATATTCAAGACAATACTCCTAAGTTGCTTTAAGTTCTCTGATACTATGATACATACATACGTGTGTGTGTGTATGTGTGTGTGTAAAGTTTTATCCACAGTTTCTTGCTCATAACTCAGGCTTTCTGTCCTTGCTTCCAAAACTCCCCAAAGCAGGCCACAGAATTGGTCATTCCAGAAGGTCCTGCCTCATTCCTAGGAGGTAGGAATGCCACACATGCTAAAAATCTCTCAGGACCTGCTGGGTTATCCTACCCAATCTATTAGCATTTTTTGCTTCTCCAATGAAGACTCCAATAAGAACCCAAAAAGATTGGTTTCAGAGAACTTCTAGATGACTGAACACATGGAAGTTTCAGGAGGGCTGTGGGCCCAGAGGAGCATGAAAGTTCTGTACCTCTTCCCGTTTGCTTTGCCCCATGCTTCTCTTTATTCTTCGTAATATCCTTTATAATAAACCAGTAAACTTGTTTCCCTGAGTTCTGTGAGTTGCTCTAACAATTCATCAAACTCTAGAAAGGAAAGTAGATGTGGAAACCCCAGTCTGTGGCAGGTGAGTCCCAAGTTTCAGAGACCCAGGCTTGCAGCTGGTGCTGAAGCGAGGGACGGGGTAGGAACAGACAGTCTCATGCGACTGAGTCCTCAACCTGTGGCATGTGACACTATCAGAAGTGGACTGGATTAGGGGATACCCAGATAGAGATGCTGAAAAACTGACTGCTTACATGCTAGAGGGGCGGAATTCCCACACACTTTGGGAATCACAGAATTCTTCTGTGTTGATTGTTGAGCAAGAGTATAGAAATGTTGCCTTTGGGGACCAGCAGATGGTGTAATGGTTATATAATTGGACTCCCATGTAGTTGAACGTGGTTTGAGTCCCCGATGTGGCAGTTGAGCATGGTTTGAGTCCCGGGCCCCTTGACTTAAAACTCATGCCGGACACGTATGTGCGCATGCCTAAAATCCCAAGAAGAGAATGGAGGAGAAGGGACTGTGCCGTGGCTATTCCTGCTAGGGGGTGATTTCTTGCTTTCTGTCTTTCTGTCTCTGTCTCTCTGGTGAGCCTATTGAAAAAAAAAAAAAAAAAAAAAAACCACCTCTCTCTCAAAAAAAGTCGTTTTTTTGACAGCTTCCATCAGAAAAAGTATACATTCATGTAAACTTTTTAAAAAAGAAGACGAAAATGAACTTCCATTTTAGAATCCACATTTTCAAAGATCGCCATTATTTATATCACTGTCATTAGAGAACTTTCCTCTGCTACATTTGGTTGAAAGAATGAAAGATTTAGGGCTAAGAAAGTTTTTGGAAATTTCCTAGTTTAAGATCCTTACAGGTGGGAAAGCCAGAGCCCAGAAGACACGGTTTCCAGGAACAAACAGTTCATTCCAGACCCAGAATTAAACCCGGTAAATTCTAAACAAGTACTCTACACTGTGCAACAAACACTAGGAAGTAACAGCAAAACAATTCATCTAAAAACCCTTTGAAGAGTCACTTGCAGATTTTAAATAACATGAACCCCTGGGGTCGCTGATATAGAAAAAGAACCCCTTCCCTATTTGAGTACAAACTGTGCCTACCTCCATCAGAGCAGGCTTCAAGTTCTACTGCAGAGAGCCACTTTCTGTCCAAGCCCATCCTGTCCTTCAAGACCAGAGTGTCTAAGGGACAGGATGTCAAAGGAGACCAGGGAAAGCGTCAGAGGAACGGTGCCACGTCCATGAGGTGCCACGTCCATGAAGATCGGAGATTGGGGGGAGCAGGGTGGGGAAGAGCTAGGACAGGTGGAGGCAGAGAATGCAAATAATGAACTGGTATGCTAAGTCTGGACATTGTCTCGGACAACAGCTGTGGTTACGACCACATTTTTGTCTCCAATCCCTGTTATTTATACACTTTCTTGTTCAGGCAAGAATTTCAGGGGACATTAGGGCTCCTAGTGCTGTTTTTGTCTCTTAGAACAGAGCATTCTTAAAAGAGAGATGGTCTTGTTTGATTTTGCAGCCCCTGGGACATCACAGAATCGGATGAAAGTAAATGAATGAATGATTCCACTTCATCCAGGGGCTGAAACACAGTCTGGGAGAGAAGCATCAGACCTTCCCATGAAGTGAGACCCGAGTTTCCTCATCCGCCGACCTCACCCTAGCTCTCCCTTCCTAAATCTGACCTCTAACTGTAACTGCCTTGGCCTCATTCCGTGGGTGTGGATTTTCCTGCTTCAAACGCATTTTCCAGCCCGCCAAATTCTTGGGAGAGTTTCCCTCACTCTGCAGGCGCTGAGAGCTACAAAGTTAAATTTGGCTTTCCAGATTTTTTTTTTCTTTCCAATCCTAACGGAAGAAATCAAGAAGCGCCGGGCAGAAGGGCTCTGCTTCCTCCAATCAGAGCCGGCTCCGGGCTGGCCAAACCCCGCTGCAGGAGCAGGAAATGCGGCGGCCGGACGCGCGGTCCCCGGTGACAGCCCGGCGCTCCCGCGGGACCCGGGCTGAAGACAGGCAGGGAAGGGCGGCCGGGGACGCCCCCACAGGCCCCGGAGCCCGCGCAGCACCCGGCGTGTACCGGTTTGGCAAATAAGACAATAAATCAACTGTCGGCCGCGGGCCAACTGCGCCCCCAGCGCACAGCCGCGCTCCTCACCCGCGCCGTCCTGGCACACCGACGGCCCAACGCCTGCACCCCGACACACACGCACGCACACGCGAGCAGCGGCAGGCCTGCGCACGCGGAAAATGGGGCTCACCCCCGGCAAGCCACGGGGGCGGGCAGAGCCCCACTATTCGCAGGGTGACCAGGACCCCTCCAGCGAGTCCACGCAGAGCCACCGTCAGTGACACGAATACTCAGTGGAGCGGTCAAGGGGGGAAAGGCCCCCTCGATCTTAGAGTGAACCCCCTCGTGCACGGGTCCACGCAGTCGCCCTCAATGACAAACGAGCCACACCATAGGGGGAGGGGATCAGAGACAGCCTTCCCTCCGACTGACCGGACTCTCCCGAGCGAAGGTCCGCACAGAGCCACCTTGGGTGACAGACACGGTGAACCAGCCACACTACGGAAGGGACCGGGAACGTGCCCCCACGCGCAGTGACCTCAGTGACGGTGGATCGGTCACACCTGGGTGGGATGAGGACCCGGGCAGAGCCCCACTTCGCAGGGTGGCCGAGACAGCCGCGCTGGGGCTCGCAGGGCTGCTGCAGCCGCGGGGCACCTCGATGCCACCCCGAGGCGGAGACAATGCCCGGGCGCACCGACACACGACGGCCGGGTCAGCCCCCGACCCCGCGCCGGGTCCGCGGGCGCTCAGGGCGGCGGCGGCCACCTCTGGCAGTGACCCTGCGGCACCCCACTCGGACCTGCCACACCCGGCCGCCCGGCCCCGGCATCCCAGCCCAGCCTGGCGACCTCCACCCAGTCCAGAAACCCCGACTTCGTCCGCAGGACCTGGCCCGGACCCGAGACCCTCTTGCGGCCCGGGACCCCAGCCCCGCAGCCTCACCTCAGGCCACCGCCTCGCAGCACTCGCTCCCTGCCTGCGGTGCCCGGGCGGAGTGGAGCGCAGCTGAGCAGCCAGCAGAGCTGCGGCCGCCTCAACAATGGAGCCCCGGGGCGGGGCCGCCTCCGCCACAGCCTCAGCCAGTCTCCCTGCTCCGGCTCGGGCTCCCGCTCGCCGCGCGGATCTACAGCCGGCGTGAGGATGCGGTTGGGAAGGACACTGCGCAAGCGCACACGTCCCTCAGCCCCGCCCCCGATGGGACAGGGGGCTCGGGCCCCGCCCCCAGGCCAATGGGAAGGAAGAGGAGCGGGGCGGGCGTGGCCTGGAGGAACAAAGGGCGGTTGGGCGGGGCTGCCCTGGCCGGGAGGCTGCAGGGGTTTGGTACAGAGGTTGGGCTGAAGACTTGGCCCAATCCGTGGCCCTTGGAAGGCCCACCTTAAAGTCCACTTGGCAGCCTGTGTTCATTCCAAACCCACACAAGTTTGTAGGGCTGAGAGTGAGAGATAGGCCTGCATTACTGAAAGGGAAATCGAAGCCAAAGGAGTGAGGCCTCTGACGCCCAAAGTCACATAGTCCCATTCACCCATTCATCTTTTAGTCATTCAACAAACATTTAAAAGTCTTTAGTGTGTCCCTCTGAAGTGGAGTGAAAGCTATCTTGGGCCCTCCCTTAGAGAGCTCTGTCAAAGGGGACCACAGATTTCTCTGTATCACTTTACTGCCTGGTAAAGGAGCCATGAGCTCAGTTCTGAACATCTCCTGGCTCAGACTTGAGTGTTTTTGCAGTTCCCTTCCTGAAAACGCCCTCCTTTCCCCTCTGGTAGCCTCCATTTATCTAAATATCGACAGTCTAAAACCTCTGTTCTCACCTTGTTTGAGCATCATGCAACCTCACATTCTAGGTTTTTGTCTGTCTCACTAGCCATTCTTTCCTGGGTCTCCATAATCCACCCTTTCTGCCCAACTGTACTTGTGAGGGTGGCCAGTGGTTCTGGCCAATGCCCTGCTGTTCGCCCATGGACACTCCTACCAAGAGTCTTCTTGCTCTTCCAGGTTTCAAATACCATCCGCATACTCTAGTGACTGCCAGACGATCTCCAGTTGAACACCTGTGGAGACTTCTTGAACTTCTCATGGTCAAAACAAAGTGCTTCCTTCATCGCCCCCTAACCTGCTCTGCCACATTCTTCCCAGTCTCAGCAAACAGCCTCCATCCACACAGTTGTCAAGTTAAAATTTAAATCATTGAACCCACCCTTGAACAGTTTGTCCAGTTATATAGTCCTCTGCTTTGCTGCCTTTGTGATAGATAGCCCCAGCCAAGTTTTCTATCCAAGTGGCTTCCTCCTCCAGGGAACTGTGACTTTCTAGGACAAGCCAGGGTCTAATTCTCATTCACTTCTGAGCGCAAAATAGGGCCTGGCACCCTGAAAGCACTCAGGAAAGGGTGCAGAATGGATAGATGAATGGATAAGTTCTTGACAGTGGCTGGAGCAGACCCTCGCTACCTTCCTTCACACACATACACACATCTGCACACACACTCACACATGTACACACACATCCATACACTGGAAGCCCAGTCTCTAATCTGATTTGCCAAGCTGCGTGAACAGCAGCTTCCTTACCTTCCCCGGTCAGGGTCTGTCTGTGGTTCTTACGAGCACTCAGGGATCAGGAAACAAAACCTCAGGGAGTGACTCAGTGACTACAGATGGCACCATTCTAGTCACCTGGCTTGTGCATACCTACCCCCTCCTCACTCTGGCCTGCCACACACACACACACACACACTCTCTGTGCCTGGCTAACTTTTACTGACCCTACGAGTTCCATTCATCCTAAATGTCACTTTCTCTGGGGAGGCTTCATGTCCTCACGGTGTACAACTGTGGCAGCACAGTCACAGTCACTGTCACCTTAAGGTGCCCCCCCCCCCGACTCATGCCTTTGTATAATCTCTGGACCACAAGAGCTGGCGGGACCTGTGGCTTGTTTCTAACCAACAGAATGGGACAAATAAGATGGGATGTCACCTTTCTGTCATGTCCACCTTAGCAGCCCAGTAAGAGAGGTTCTACTTGCAGCCTTTATAGTAGTAAGCTGGATGCCAAGAGATGGCCTTTGGAGAGACACAGCTAGCAAGGAGTTTTGGACATCTCTGGGACCTGAGGAAGACCTCCAAACAGAACATAGCAAAAATAGGGGCCCTTAGTCATTCAAGCCCAAGGAAGTGGGTTCTGCCAACAATCTGAATAGACTTTGAAAAGGATTCTTCCCTAGTCTAACCTCCAGCTGAGGATGCTGTCTGGCTGACAGTCTGAATGAAGCTGGTGAGACCCTAAGCAGAGGACCCGTTAAAACGTGCTGACCTACTGACTCATAGAAACAGAGTTGAGAAGTACTTGTGCTTTATTAAACTTCTACATTTCTGGTTATTTGTTATGGAACGATGTGGGTTGATGCTGATCTTCAATGGGCTGAGGCCACATGGGAAGGCCAGGTTTGATTCCAGACCACCCTAAAAATCTGTGTGTGGGGGTACATCTATAGTTCCAGCTACTCCAGAGACCAGGGCAGGAAGCACTCAAGTCAAGGGTGACTTGGGCAGCGTAGTAAGACCTGCCTGAAAGACTTAGGCATGACAGTATGCAGTTGTAGTCCCAGCTGCTAAGAAGGCTGAGTCCAGAGGATTGCAACAGAGTCAGACCCTGTCTTAAAAAAATAAAAAATAAAAAAAGATAATAATAACCAAAACAAAAGTCTAAATGTGCTTCCCCTTATAAATATTCACTGTGGGGCCAGCAGGTAGCATGGTGGTTAAGACCCTGGACTCCCACATGACAAACTGCAGTTCAAGCCCCAGACCTGGCATCTTGAAAATCATGCAGGGAATGTGTGCATACCTGCCCAAAATTCCAAAAGGAGAATGGAAGAGAAGGGATTGTGGCATGGCCGTCCTTCACTGTCTCTCTGTCTCTCCTCTCCAGTGAGGGCACACATAGCCTACGGCAAAAACTTTAAAAACAAAACAGAACAAAAACTTATTATTCCATAGCTCCTGTGGGTCAAGAATCCAGCCTAGCTTAACTGGGTGCCTGTGGCTCAAAGTTGCTCACAAGGCTGCAGTCAATCTGTTCGCTGGGGCTGTGGGCTCATATGAAGGCTCGATTGCAGGAGGATCTGTTCCCACGCTCACGCATACATCTGCTCACAGGCCATGGTTCCTCACCAGTTGATGGTGTTCCTCAGCTGCTCATTGCATGAATCCCATATAAGGTAACTCACAAAAAGGCAGCCGACTTCCCTTAGAATGAGTGAGCATGAGAGAGCACTCGTGAGGAAGACCGTCTTTTTCTGTAACCCAACACTGAATGTGGTATTCCATCACTTTTGCTATTTTCTAATTCCTTTGAAGCAAGTCAGCAGATTAAGCCCACATTCAAGGACAGAGGATCACACCAAATACCAGACAGTAAGCATAATCTTAGAAGCTCCCTACCACAGCTGTTGAACTCCAGTGATTTATACTTTTATATCATAAAAGCAGCTAAAGAGGGACCAGCAGATGGCATAATGGCTATCTCGCTGGACTCCCACATGGTCAACCACAGTTCCAGTCCCAGACCTGGCGCCTTCAATCTCAGTCCAGGCAAGTGTGCATGCATGCCCAAAATCTCAAGAGGAGAATGGAGAAGAAATTCCAGCTTGGTTCTTTCCCTCAGGGGGTGATTTCTTGCTTTCTGTCTCTCTTTCTCTCCGATGAGCACATGTACCCTATAGTAAAAATCTCTCTCTAAAAAAAAAAAAAGGCAGCTAAATAAAAAGACAGTTTCTCTTCAGAAATAATGGAAGTCAAAAGAAGATTGAATAACAATCTTATAATGTTGGAAAGAAACACTGTCAATCAATCTCCTGCAAAATCTCTCCCAACACTTCCCCGCACTGTCTTTATAGTCCCTCTCATGCACAAGGCACAGTGTGAAAAGCACCACTGCCCAGCGCCCCCAAGCATGGCATGACCATGCACCGTGTGGTTCTCTTACAAACACCAGCCTCTCAGGTTAATATGGTAGCGTGGGGTCTATAATTTTAGGTGTAAAAAACAATCATCTTTTGAAATCCACCTCTAACACCTGTAAAGTTTTGGCCAAATCCTTCAGCTTCCTCAGCCTCAGTAGCCACATTGGTAAAATATGCACCATAAATACCATGCTGGATTTACTTCTGAGAATGAAATGAGATTGCACATGTACATTGCTTATCACATGGTAGGCATCTCATAGATTTAAGTTCCTTTCCTGCTAGCAGACTTCTACCAACTCTCCCAGACCTAGCTCAAACGTTACCACCTCTGTGAGGCTGTGCTAGTTCCCAGGGAGAACATCTTTCCCAGTCCACAATCTAACAGCTGTTTGAATAACCCAGCCCATGTTACTATACTGAACAACCCACATTATCACAACCTGTTTCCACATCTGACTCTCTCATGCCACAGTGAGCTCATCTAGGGCAGGATTCATTCTTACCTCCCTGGCATCCATGAGGTACCTGGCTACACAGTATGTTTGATTTCTCCCTCCCCTGCTCCCCAAACCCCCCTGCCAGGGTTACTGCAGACTCCCTAACACTGAACCCGAAGGACACACCTATCACACCTGTCTGCCTTAACCTTGCCTCACCACCTGCTCTCTGGCTCCCTCCTTCCTTCGATGCCTGTGCTTCCCTAGACCTCAGTGGTGTGGCCTTCATGCTTTTCCTCTTCCTCATTGCCTCTCCTCAGTCTTCTTTGTGTCCTGCCTTTCTTCTACCAAACTCTGAAAGGCCGATGTCCCTCCAGATTCTGTCCCAGGGTGAGCCCTGCTCCCTCTGCACTGCCCTCCTGAGCAGGCTCCCGTAGGCTGTGATTCAGGCCTTCCCTTACACACAGCCAGGTCTCTACTGAGCCTCAAACCTGTCTGCCTAGTTGTCTCTGGTCACCTCCGCCTGAGCAGCCCATGAGCACATCAAACACAACACATGTAGGAAGAACTTGTCTCTAACACCCACTCCGACTGCTGCTCACCTGGGCCTCCTCCCTCTGTGAACAGCTCCTCCATCTGTCCCATTGCCCTCACTAGAAA